AGGAACAAGATGGGGTTCAGCAGCATCAATCTGATCGATCAGCCAGATGAGTTACATGTCGGTCGATGTTGCAGCCACGGCTGAGGGTTGCGGGCTGGCTGCGCGGGCAGCGGGCGGCTCTGTGCTCGTGAGCCTCACGCACGGCATTGCGTGCTGGCTTCACAACGTCGATCGGCAACGCGGGAAAAGATGGCATAGAGAGCACCTCTTCCCACTAATAATGTGCCCTTTTCAGCGTCCAAGTCGAGCATACAATCAACAAGAACCACCCAACAAAAGAGGATGACCAGTGGCACGCAAGCTCGAGTCGTCGGATTTTCCTTCACAAAAATCCCACAGAAGCATACAAACTAAGCTCCTCTATGTACCTCTATGACCCACACATGAATGGTTTTCTGCTTGCTCTTGATTCTCTATGCCTACAGCATGGGCTGGCGTCATTTCACTGAAATTAGCTGGCACGCGACCCTCAACCTAGCCGTGCACAAGCCAATGGATTGGGTCTGTTAGCCTTTATCGCATTACACGAGAAAAGGGCAAGTTGTAAGTTGACTCCACGAGGGCGGTTCTGGGCCGTGCGCACGCCTTGACGGGCCTGGCAGGATGACTCGCGCCGTGGTTGTATGAGCCCAAGGGGACGAAGCTCGAGTGGCAATGACCCAAATTTGAACTTTGCTGCACACGCGCGTGTGTCTCTCTCTAAAAGCAGCTGCCAAACATGCGAATGAAAAAAAGGGAACAAGAATCCAGATAGAACAATCAAACATCAGAAGACAGTCGCGCAGAGCCCTGCCGGATGGTTTCCATCGACACAGCCCAACCGACCGACGATGAGATGGCGCCGAAAAAAAAGGGTTTGTCAAACAGCCCTGCATCCTCGCAAGTTGCAGCAGCCTCAACCGTTCTTTCATGTCCATGGTGCATCATGAAGTTTTTTGTTTTTTCTCCTGGGTTTGGCTACTACTTAAGAAACCGGCCGGCCCTCGACTGGACTGCATCGTTCTCACAACAACCGCCTCCCCGATTTGTGAATGTTTTGTCGGACCTCAAATGCTGCCACGCACAGCTAACGACGCCGGTTCCGCCCACATCTACTTGAAGCAATCTCACGTGTCAATGCACACACTGGTCGCGCATCCTTGCTCCGCGCTTGGCGCTCCAAACAACGGGATCGACGCAGAGTGAGCGTGAGCAAGACGGTCCGCTTTTACGGGTGAGCAGTGGGACCCCAACGTGGCAGTTCACGCTCTCCCTCCCCCGTTTCAGCGCAGCCGGGCCATAAAACAACGACATGCACATGCTCAAGCCACCTCTGTCAGCTTGGCGCCGAGCCGAGCCGAGCATCGCCTTGATGTTAAATACTACATCTGACTGATGTATGTTCATTCTGCCGGCCGACACACACTATCAGACACGCAGAAACGGTCCACGCAATCGTCCACACACTGAATATAAAATAGACCTCCCGAAAGTCAGGAACGTTGCTTTTAATGAATAACCCCCTTGTAGATTAACAAAATCTGCATTATTCTACACACACCCTCTAGAATAATATTTGTTCTTGCGTAACACATGCTAATATAAGAACAAGGGGTCATGTTAACTTGATAAGTCATAAATTTGAAACTACTCCTCCATTTTCAACTTGGCCTCGCGCTCAGCGCTCGGGGTACGATCGCGCCGTTGATACAGGCAAAACGGCAGTGCCGCGTGCTCCCTCTCCCTCCTTCTACCTCCCTCCTCCTCCCTCGTCCTCTCTCCCTCTCTCCTCCTCCTCTCTCTCAAGCTCTCTTTCACAAGCTCTCTCTTTCTCTCTCACGCTCTCACGCTCTCTCTCAAGCTCTTTCTCAAGCTCTCTCTCAAGCTCTCTCTTCCTCTCTCCCCTCTTCCCCCCTTGCTCTCTCTTCCTCTCTCCCTCTCTCCCCCTCTTCCTCCCTTCTTCCTCTTTCTCTCTCTGCTTCATCTGTTCATGCGCCTCCTGGGCGTGTGCGTTGCTGATGTTGCCGCTCCAAGTTTGACGCGTTGCTCTGGTACCCATGTGTCTCCGCTAGTGCCTTTGCCTGTTTATGACCGTGTGTTGCTGCCCGGCCGTTTGTGCTGTCGGCTGGTCTCTGCGGGCTTGTTTTGCGCCTGAGCCAGGTCCTGCTCGATACCTTGGCTGCCCGACCCCTCCCGTGTTCGGCTCTTGTTGTGTGTTGTTCTCAACATCCTTCGTACTGGCGGCTTGCGACCGACGGTCTACGAGAGCTCTCATGGCTCAGACAGCTGCTCATCCATCCTGGTGCTCTGGCCTTCTAGATTCTCCTGTACTCCTCTGTGGCTCCGACTGTCCTGCACTGCAAACCGGCACCATGGCTTTTGAGAGTAAGCCAAAGCCAGCCCACAGCCGCTGCGACGTACCCATCCTTGACATCAAGGGGGTGAACGGCTTTGCTTGCTGCCACCCCCACTCTTCATCTCATGACACCATGAACTTCGCCCGTCTGTGGTAGAAATTGGCTGTATGCCCGAGCTGTGCCGCGCAGTGGAGGAAATGGACTGGATGTAAGCCTTTTTGCTTGCCCTCAAGCTCGTGCATCGCCCATTCACCTCAAACCCAACGCCCGCTCTTCTCTCTCACCCGTGCCATGTTCGCCTCGCGCTCGCACGCATATGGCACTCGATGGTGTGACGGTCCATGTCACGCCAATCAGGCTGCCCACCGACATCCAGGATGAAGCCATCCCCCTAATTCTAGGTGGTGGTGACGTTCTGTTGGTACGCCGGTGTTCCCCCTTGGCCCAACGCCGCGCCATGTCGATATCCCATCGTTCATCTCCTCCTCCCCTTGTTTGTTGTCGACCTGCTAGGCGGCTGAAACAGGCTCTGGCAAGACAGGCGTAAGTTGACAGCCCACTGCTGGCATTGGCCTCAGTCAGGCCCTGGCAGTTCAATGCCTCGGTACTCCTGTTCAGGCGATGTATGATGCGCACTGACATTCTTCCTCACATTGACTTCCGTAGGCTTTCTCCTTGCCCATCGTCCAGATTGTCGCCGAGTCTCTGCAGGAAGGCCCCGTGCCCGCAGCTAAGCAGCGCGCCACTTCCCGCCAGCTCCGCATGAGCGCTCTGGATCGGGACGACAACTTTGCCGTGGACGCTGCCGGCCTGCTTTGCCAAGCCCGTGAAGCCCACAAGTGGCAAGGTGGTCGTGCCACCGCTGGTGCTCTCAAAGGTATGCCTTGACTTGCCCTCACACAGTGCCTTGGCGATCCTCGTGCCTGCAGCCCCGACATGCCTCGGTCACACAATGGTTCGTCGGCCCTGGGATCTCTAGGCAAACACTACTATGAAGTCACTGTCACCGACGAAGGTCTCTGCCGCGTCGGCTGGGCCACCCAATCGGCCACGCTAGAAACCGGTTCGTGAGGGCCCATTTGAGTGGATACAATCACCACCACCACCACGCCTTTTTCAACCACCCAACCCTGCTACGCCTCACCTCGGGGGCCCGCTCCACTGCAGGCATTGACGATCAGAGTTTTGGCTTTGGAGGGACCGGCAAGAAGTCAACCGCTCGCCAGTTTGAGGATTACGGCGAGCCTTTTGGCCTCAATGATGTCATTGGATGTCTGCTGGATCTTGACAACCAGACCATGGCCTTTAGGTGAGGTGTTGCCGGCCATCCGGCACTCGAGCAACAAATACACTTCCTTTTCTTTGTGCATACCAGCTGTTTTACCACCCGGTCTCCTCGAACCCGACTGACCCACCCCTTTTCCTGATGATTCATTCGATTTTTTCGCAGCAAAAATGGCAAGGACTTGGGCAAGGCCTATGACCTTCCTGCCTCTATTCGAGGTAAGCTCACATCACCCAAACTCACCATAGCAATTTACCCCAGCAAAAAAAGCATCCCAGCTCTTTCCTCTCCTCCCTCACGCGCACTGTTTGCTTCAGGCCAAGCGCTTTTCCCTGCATGTACGGTCAAAAACGCCGAGCTGCGTTTCTGCTTTAGCGGTGCCAACATGAAGCACTTGCCTCAAGGATACACGCCCATGGGTGATCAACCCACCACCCACTTGGCACTCACCCGGTAATCACCCGCTTTTGTTGACTGACACCGTTCAAGTTGGCTCAAACGTTTCTCGTCTTTGCCTCTTGACTGGTCTTCCCATCTTCTCACTGCATCCTCTGCGCCATTCGCCTTCTTCTGTCATTTCTTCTTCTTCCCCCCCCCCCCCCAC